ACCACAGTGTCTACACTTCTTTGCACTCTAACTGCAATTGCCCGAAAAGAAAGTCCAGCTTCCCGAAGTCCCACTATACGGCCCCTATCAAACTCACTAAGTTGACGAAATCGTACAGGTCTCCGTACTCTAGGCATCGTAACCGATCGTAAAGGATGTCAAGAACCCAAATCCGCCAACGTTGATTCTTTACTGCGGCTGAAATATTCATTTTTAGAGCGTTAGTGAATTAAAAAAAAGCAGTATAAAAACCGGAATGTCCAACTGATAAGGCTGAAAATTTTTTTACTTGTTATTTACAGTAAGATAAATACATTCACCAACTTTTATTAAAATAAAACCATTTAAACTGGGTGTTCGGATTTATATGTCACTTAGTATAGCTTTGGTGTTCAAAAAATTATCCAAGATAAAATGAAATGCCATATCGACTTCTATGAGAATTTGTCTATTATCTGCAGCAATTAAAAATCTATGTTGTGTCGTACATGGCGCTAAAGCCAATATCTATGCTCATATAGTTTGCTACAGCGTCATCTATGGGATACGAAGCTGTTAAAAGTAGATTTCTAATTATTGCCGAGAGGAGAAACATAGCTGTGACAAATTCTCAAATTGCGTAATTTTTTGGACGCCGAAATGGTTGGAAATTTTTTTATCAATGTTTTTACCGAGGCTTCAAGACCCTGTGCATGCGCATATATTTTAGGTCCTTTCTTATTTATAGATATATTTTGTGCTGTAGAAAGTTTTCCACTGCCTTTTCGCCCCAAAAAACATCTGACTTTGGCAGCATAACCCAATGTCTACGGGAGTTTCAGCTGTGAAACATTTACTTTCCACCAGAATTTTAAACAATAGTATTCAATTCAATTCAATTCAATGGACTTTATTATAACGCATACATAATTATGTATCCTTACAAATGGCGAAGTCTGGTCGATGGCCATTTATAGTTAACCATAAATGTCATGTCAATGCTTATTACTACCTTCAAAATAAAATAAAAAAAAAACTGAAAAAGAAAAGGAAAAAGAAGAATAATAGTAAAAGAAGAATTAATAAATATGACATAATGCGTACGATTAGAACAAAAAACATAATACGTACGATTCAAAGAGAGGACAATAACCTAAGAGCTCAATAAGTAGTTCTTATATTTTTTTTTAGAAAAGTTGCTGGTGAAACATTGTTCGAAAGAGTTAATCAATTTCACCGCATTATACGTAAAAGACCGTTGAAAAATGGCTGTCCTATGTTGTGGCATTGTCAGGAGATTAATGTTGCGCGTATTCAAATTGTGAATTAAATTCCTACGAACAAGCTTTTGCATAAGATAAACCGGAACAGAAGTTTTTAATATTTTTACGACAAATGTAACAAAGTTGTATTTGGAAAGATCAGAAATTGTCAACCAATTCATTGAAGATATTGGGTGAGAAACATGATCGTACCTTCTTAAATTGTTTATGTAACGACTACATGAGTTTTGAATTTTTTGCAGTCTGTATTTTGTGATTTCATCCAGATAGGGATAATAAACTATGTTGCAGTAAGCGATTTTACTGAGTATGAGTGACTCGCATAACATTTTCTTAATTTTTCTATTTAAAACAGTTTTACTTGCATGGATAGAGCAAATATGTTCCAACGCTATTCTTATTTCGTAAAACCTAGCTGTATTTTCTTTATTTTTCAGGTGGATCCCTGTCCAAATTCTCCACCTCGCTTCGTCATGGCTTGTGCAAAGCTCTCCACTTGCACAATTCCCAGCCGGATGTTATAAGGGATCCCAGATTGAGTCTTCACAGGCAGAGCCTGGATAGTCCGAGAACGCTGATGAAGCAGTCTAGCTTCGAGAGAAAAAGTTCTACCTGAAAATCTGGAATTAAAGTGAAACGTATCGGCAAAGGTGATTGTGTTTTGATAAGGTTGGGGCGTGATTGATTTATGTTTTTATAGTTTGGAATGTTTTTGAACGCGATAAAATCGAATGATCCCAAATTCTGACAGCTGTTGACATTTTTCATTTTTAGCAAAATAATATCTTCCTAGGTTCTCCAAATCATTAAACAATTCTTTGCAAAGTTAGTATGGTGTATAGAGACATGCCTTACCGAGACGGCAGACTATTCTGTTCTGTATAGTTCAGGACAAACTTATAGTGTTTTTATCGACGGTCGTTAAAAAGCGATAAAACTGAGAAGACAGCTTCTGTTTACATCGTCTGGAGGCACCTGCCAACTTCCCAAATAGCACAACTGTATCTTAAAGACGTTTTAAAAACGTCATTTTGATCAGAGACGTCTTGAAAACGGTATACGATATCTTAAAGACGTTCTAAAGAATACGTTTGTAAAAAAATCGAAACTTTTCAACGGAAAGGAATAAAGATATGAAAATACTTTCATCCTGGAGTCCGAAGTATGGGCTTTCTTAAGCAAAAGTCGCCACGTTCGTATCTCCGTTATCTTCGGAAAAGATAGATCCTGAACATCGAAAAGCGCGGTTTATACGCAAAAAACTCATTCATCCAACATTGGAAATTCGTTTATTCGAAACGCGTGCCCTAAACGAAAAAAACTCTCTCCACGTAATTTATAGTACTCGTCGAGATGTATGGGGCTGTCCAAAACGGACGCAGGAAAGTAAACGCGTATTAAAACAAGAAAGATTGATATTCAAATCAAGTTGGGTACTTTATTTTGAAGGTTCATTTATACCATTTATGTATGAAAAATAATATCGCTCAAATGTTCACCACGACTGAATTTACAGACGTCCACGCGATGGTCGAAATTTTCAATGACATTTTGCAACATGGTCGGTTCTATGGCATTTATCTCGGCAATAATGTTGTTTTTGAGTTCTTGGAGGGTGGCTGGTTTGTTGACGTAGACTTTGCTTTTCAAATATCACCATAAAAAGAAGTCCAAGGGAGTCAAATCACACACATCGTCCATATCCATTCCTTAAAGTTGCGGCAAAAAATAGTCCTCTATCATCACGTGATATCGCTCAGAATTGACGGTAACGGCGTCCCCGGCAGCATTTTCGAAAAAGTAAGGTCCGATGATGCCTTTTGACCACAATGCACACCACACAGTCACTTTTTGCATCGGCTGCTCTTGATACTCACGGGGATTTTCGTTCGCCCAGATGTGGCAGTTTTGCTTGTTTACCGTCCCATTCAAAGTCGCTCGTCGCTGAACATGATTTTTGATGAAAAATTGGCATCAATTTGGCGGTGTTCAAGGAGCCAATCTGAGAACGTTCGTCTTTCACACTCTCCTTCACAACAGCAATATTTTCCGGTGTGCGAACGTTCCTTGGCCGGCCAGAGCCTGACAGATTTGCCACAGAACCTGTTGCCTCGAATTTACGCACCAGACGACCAATGGTTGTTTCGTTTGGGCGGTTGTTGCGACCGAAATGTTCACGATGCGCGCGAAACGTGTTGTTTATTTTTGCACCATTTTTGTAGTGCTCTTGAATAACTTTAATGCCGTCTTCAATCGAATACGACTCCATAGCGATCAATGGTAAACATTCAACTAACAAAATGACATGTCGGTGACAGAAAACAAAGATTGCGTCTATGTCAAATTGACGTTTACTTTCCTGCGTTCCTATTGGACAACCCTATACAAAATGGGTTATGCGAAATTTCTTTTCTCTTTGCCGTAGATGAGTTATCGACTTTTTGCGAAATATCATTTTTCAGGTTTTTTCTTTGAAAATTTTTAGAAAAACTAATATGCTGATCAAAAGCGGACCCAGAAAATCCAAAACGCCCATCTCTTGGCTATCTAATGCGACCGATCCCAAGTCGATATTTTGCGAAATGACGGCGGTCGATACGCGAAAATCTACCATTTTTTCAACTTTAACAGCCGTTTTTAAACGCTCTTAGTCCTCGTACCTCGACGGTTTTTACTTACTCTTAAAGCGCCGAGTTTAAAGTTTCTGAAACGGTATCGTTTTCCGATAAAACCTTTCGCAAACCGTTAAGAAAAAACGAAAAACCTCGCCGATGTTGAAACGACCCGATCCAAGCTAGAGAGGGAAGTAAAAAAAAAATCACCGCTTAAAAATTTTGTTTGTCGAATAAGTGTATTATTAAACTGCCTTAGCATATATGGGAACGTTCAAATTCAACATTGCCCAACAGTATTTTTCTACACAATCACCAAATGATGGGCAAGCGGCAGAAGTTCTACAATAACAGATTTGTACTGATATTGATCGAAAGCTTATTTTGGACTGGAGTGTACGTTCACACTGTACATCCTATAGGGGAACTTTTTAAAGATAATGGTGTAGCATTAAGCTAGGTCTGGTCTCTGACAGAAAAAAAGTCATTCGTCTCTTAGTTGCAGCCCATACACGATAGTTCTTTGCTCCGATATAATCACGTCATTCTTTTCCGTCACAGGTGTGGAAGGAAAATAAAACTTGTCAGCAGGGCGCATTCAAAATAAGTGGACACAGGATTTAACTTACTTAAAAAAGAACTTAAAACTTTCTACGTGACAAGACTGATTCGCGGGCAACTTGTGACAGCTCATTGTCAATTGTCATGCTGCTGGACATTTCATTAACACTAACATAGTTTGCCATTGCCAACTTAACAAAACTGTTGTCGCACGCTTTTTCTTCTCGAAGATTCATGTGAATGGTACATTTCCTGTTCTGCACGGAAAATAATTCCTATAGTATTTCTTTGGCAGTCTGACAAGACCTGCTAAGTGCAAATAGGATGATTTTACAGGAGAATGAAAAAACACATCAAGGGTCTGGTATGGTGGCCCTTGTACGTGAAGTATCAACTTTATTATAATTCTATTGTTACTGTGAGCAGGATAAACTAATTTTGCTAAAATATGATTGGACTTTGCTTAAAAATCTCAACTTTATTAACTAAAGAAGGACAATATCATAGGTATAATAATAGTTTTAGAAAATAAAGCACATATTTAGATAGTTAAGTACATACAACTTCATTTCTTGCATTTCTTCGTTTTTTGTTTTCCATCCAAAGCATCGGACTCAGTAGTGTTTTCGGCAGTTTTATCTTTTTTGTATGGAAGAAGGTCATAAAATGTATGGCAATCTTTGGAAATAACGCTCTTCAAGTATTGTAGATGCTTCCATTTAGTCTGTGTTATTTCCAATCTATCGCTGTAAAGGCTAGGGTTGTTTGAAGTCACAGCGATTTGTTTTGGTCTACTCTGAAGACTTTTGAAATCGTTATCGAAATCAAGCTTCACTTTCAGTTCACCGCAGGGATCATAGCATAGCGCTTTGATGTTGGTCATAAGTTCTCTCTGCCGGGTCTGATTGTCGAATAACGAAGGAGCTCTGTTTTACTATAATCTTTGAAAAAAGTGCGCTCCAGCTGGATCACTTCGTATGGGAATGGTTTTTTTCTAGCTTCTAAAGACGCTGTTACATAATCACTGGGTAGCTAGATTATGCTGTTTTTTAACTTTCTATGCAACTATGCACTGAGTCGCATTCAATCTGTGTATGGCCTTTCGTGAGATACTTTTGAATAATAGTAACTTTGTGCATGATAGCAAAATTCAGTAAAGCGTTTGATATAATGTTGTTCCTGTTCTGAAATGTGCACCCGTCTGAGGAAATAATTATTGGCAAATTATGTTGTAAGCAATGCCTGTTTAAATAATCCAGCAAACATGAAACGAAAGTCGACGCCTGCAGTCCAGAGTCGACCTCGGTAAACCAATAGCACGTGGCTTGGTAACTTACAATATTATATATGGTGAAATTGTGGCAGCTTAGCTTTGTTTTAAAATAAATCTTTGTTGCATTCACCAACGGAGCAACTTTTACAGCTTGCAGATCCATGCAAACTACAATGCACTCGCCTTTCACAGCTTTCTCCTTATCTCGGTTTTTTCTTTTCTAGCTTTTTCTTTGTCTTCAATATGTTTACTCCAAATACTACTATCAATGTTACCGTTTTCCTGCTCTATGCAAATGTCACATCTATCTTTCTTTGGTGAAAACAAACTAAGATTGTTCTCTTTAAATATCTGCTTAAACACCTTTATACCCAGGCAATGCTTGTTTTTCTCATCACAAACCTCTCTATAAAAGTTATGCAATTGCTTCAGAGTAACGAAATGTTGCTCTAAATAAAATTTACTGGTATCCTTTCCCACATAGTGAGATGGCTGTTTCGGAAGGTCATCGAAAAATAAATTCGGGAAAGCTTTACTGTCCTCGAAAGCGCGTACCCTATTATTCCTATTCTTTCGCTGTTTATTAAATTCTCCCTTAGACTCGTTCATATCGTATACACTCTCTTTTTTCCAACTTTCCACTGTGAATCGTCCTAGCCCTGTAGTATTGAGAAATGTTTTGCGACAGACTTGAACCAATTCTGTACCATTATGTAGTTTGTATGTCATGGTATTTTCTCGTCTACTGCTTACATTTTCAGTTGTTTTCCTAGATGGAGGCTGAACGCTGACATGTCCAGAAACAAAAAGATTTCTTTGATCCCACGTCAAAGTTTTTGTCCTTGTCACGCGAAAATCCAAGGTAATCCCCCCCTTTCATTCTTAGTAATTTGCTTTTATTCCATTTCCATTCATTTTTGTCTGCTGTAATTTTTATTTTTCGTCCTTCATTCATGTCACCCCAATTAGTCTCATTATTAAGTTTTTGATGATCATTGACAGTCCTTCTGTTGCGCTATTTTCTTTATCACTTTCGATAGCATTATCATCGAAGCTATCATCCTCTACTGCATAGACATTATCTGGAACGGAATCACTGTCAAGATCGCTTTCATTACTACTGCTACTAAAATTGCCATGACTTCCAGCGGTTGGATGATCTTGATCACGATATGGCGAAGATCTAAGTCTTTATCCTCTAAACCACAAACATTTATTCCTAGCTCAGCTGGCGGAAGATTGAACTCAGCTTCATCTATTTCAAGAACATCATCAGCCAATACGATCTCCATACTGTTGATATCAAATCCATTAAAGGTGCTTATGTGTTCATCATATCTTTCTGGTAAGGTGCTTGGTACTGCTGGTACAACTGTTTGGGAATCAGTTTGTACTGTATTATCAAGTTTTTCGAGAGCTGATTTAGTTTTTTCTTGTTGTCTCACTAGATTTAAGATTTTTTGTGCTCGGGACGCCATTTTTCCTAAAAGAAAAATATAATTTTGTGTTTATTCCGCACAAGCACCATACCTGTGAGTTGCATTTGTTCACCTAGATGACATAAACATCATAAAAATAATATAATTAGGCTTATCAACAGGTAAAAAGCACTACTTTTGTGTTTTCCAGTGTATAACAGTTTACAATACCAATAGAAACAGAACATGCTAAGTTCCTCCTTATACAGAAATAATATAATTGCAATGACTGCTATCTGCGCTTTATTACAAAACGTTGATTTTAATTGCTTTGATGAGTTGTTTGTTCAAAAATATGCATATAAAGTAAAACTTATTCTTACCCTTATTTGAAAACTTCTGGAGTCTTGGCTGGTTATTCGGAGAAAAACTGGACACAATAAGCGGTGCGCGCCAACACGTGGTTAATAACCTACAAATTTACGAATGCAACTGGACGTTAGCAGGTATTGCGTCAGCTAATAGTAGACGGGGAAGATCGCAGCTATTGTTTCGCGGCAATAGCGTAAACAAATGAATTATCTGTAGTTGGCAGTCAACTACATAAAAAACTCATTTTCAAAAAACTGTCAGTTAGCAGGTATTGTCAGACTGCCGACGATTTGCTTCCAGAATACGTGAATCATTACCACTTCAGTACGAATTTGTGCGTGTCAAGTGCCTTTTGCAATTCTTCGATACACACCATGAATTATCCTGTTATGCAAGCTCATCCAGGCCATGGAGTGTCTGGTCAGTTTGACGCAAAGACTCAGGAATAAAGATTTTCATGGTAGTTTATTGCTGTCGAACTTCCATTGCGGGAATACTATAGCGCCGTCTTATTATTTTGTTCGTCATCCCTGGCTCTTATTCCGTGAAAATTGCATTTTCCCACAGGAAAGAATGCTCGTGTACGGGCTGCAAATGCCTCACCTGAATTAAGTATGGAATGGAACTCAAAGGATATAAAAATAAAATCTTTATGTAACATTATGATTCCGTAAAATGTAGATCAGACCAGCCAAATATTGATATCTCTTTTCATGTTGTGCTCGCCACAGATAGCTGTCTAACATCCTGGCTTCTCTAAACGTATATTTATCTTCCATTCATCCAAGTTGAGTTCTTTCATTGAAGATGTTTGATTTTTATTTTTTTTTATCCAAAATCCTGATGTTCTCGGTCAGAACTACAAACATCATACGTCGATGTATTATTATAGGTAGCAAGAAGATCCATGTCAAATAATCTTATGACAAGTACAAAATATACAAAAAAATCGATGTCCATAATTAAGGCTATTTATCAACACATATCAAATTGTCACTTACGCCCAATAATCCCAGATCTTGTTCCAGTAACAGCCACAACAATGTATATTTTAGATGTGTATATAATATATATGTAATTAGCATTAAATGTCTCAAAAAGTACTTGTAAATCATATACACATTTCTTTTTATGATTGTTTAGTAAAATGTCGCTAAAATTTTACAATAGGTTTTTCTGCGCACTATTTAAACAATGCGATAAGGTTTTTAAAATTTGCCAATTAGTCCGAGCATTATATTCGCATCTGATGGGAAAAATATTCTGATTAGGATTTTTTGCATAATCTCTTGACAATAGACCAGGCCAGGCCCAAATTTGCATCAACACTTTTTTGAATCATTTCTTAAAACAACAAAAATATAATTTTTTTTCGAAACAATGCATCGCTTATATCTCGAAAACTAGAGAACAGTTCTAAATTAGCGTTTTTTTTACAATTTTGCAGATTCGTTTTGAATATGCTTAACGCATCATGCATCGTTTATTCACTGGCAAGTGGACCACACATACTTTAGAGCCAGAATCGTCAGCCTCTAGCGGTCACGTGTTGACTGGGCTATTAAAACTGAACCGAGGTCCCGTTGTTGATACTGATTCCTCGCTCTGCCTAATTTTATTTTAAATAAGATTATGAAAAAAATCCTAATCAAAATATCTTTGTCATCAGATGCGAAGATATTTCCTGGACAAAGTAAACGTTTACCTTTTGTGGTGTACATATATTTCGAGACATGTACCATCGAAACTGTATTAACTGGTCTCAGAACAAAGCTACTTATTTTTGCAAAGCTTTTTGTAGTTGAAGTTCAGGCTTATGTTTTTGTTGTTTAATAGCGTTTATACACTTTTCTGTGATAGACGAGACTGGCACACACAAGTAGAAAATGTAACACAACAGGTTTTATCTATACCTAAACACGCACTTTTACACGCTAGCGTTGCTGCAGGTGTACCACTGGAAGGCATTTTGACAGAGGTCACATTAAGAACTAATAGTGATACAAAGCAAAATACAAGAAGAACTTCGACAAAGACATTTGACAGAATATGTAAACGCTTTTCAAATATATTGTTTCATAATGAGGCTAAAAGTCCATTTATTTCATTTGGTCAGAGCTTGATCATATGTATCATTTGATGTCTAAAATGCGAGACTCCTAAATATCTCGGTTCCTAAAACCCGTGACAGTTTGCATAATTTTACGTCGTATATGTTGTTTTATGTGTTTACTCCCGAATAGTCTTAATGTCTTAAAACATCTTATTTTTTAAGAACTCTGTTGAAGTGGTCTCCTACGGTAGGTTACATTATATTATTCATAATATGACACGAAACTCCCATTTTAATATATCCACCTAGATATTTCGAAAACTGCGCATTCTGGAAAGAGATCATGCAAAAGTGGCGGGGTTCGAAGGGGCAAAATGATGACCTTCAAAGTACTTTCAAGGTCAAGTGAACTTTTTTTTAAAGGAACCCCACCTTTTTCACATCGGAGTTGGAAACAAGGGCAAATTTTATGTCTGAACATTGTTTTAGCCATGATACTGACCATTACCTTTAAGGTCAAATCAAGTCATCAAAAATAATTTGCTCTAGCAAAAATGTTCTGCAGCAAAAGTTGTCGGGTTTCAAAGGGACAAAATGGTGGTGACCTTGACCACTAGTCATTCCAAGGTGAAGTGAACATTTCTGACAAAAACCTCACCTTTTTCATATCGGAAATGACAAAAGGGGCAAATTTTACGCCCGAACAATGTGTTGGTCATGACTTTGATCATTACCTTCAAGGCTATTTCAAGGTCAAATCAAGACATTAAGAACAATTCGCTGTAGCAAACGTGTTCGGCAGCAAAAGTTGTAGGGTATCGAAGGAGCAAAATAGTAGTGACCTTGACTACGATCTTTGAAGTCCTTTCAAGGTCAAGTGAACATTTTTGACAGGTACCCCACCTTTTTCGCATCGAAATTCAACAGAGGGGCAAATATTTCGTCCGCACTTTTTCTTGGCCATTACTTTCAAATCTATTTCAAGGTCGAATCAAGACATCAAAAACATTTTTTTTTTATATCGAAACTATTTGCTCTAGCAAAAATGTTTGCAGCAGAAGCTGTTTGGTTTTGAAGGGAAAAAATATTGTGACCTTGACTACGACCTTCAAAGTCATTTCATGGTCAAGTATACATTTTTGACGGGAACCACCCTACCTTTTCCACATCGGCACAAAAGACGGGCAAATTGTACGTTCGAACATTGGTCTTGACTTTGTCCTTTGCGATTGCCTTCAATGATTTGGGAAGGTCAAATCAAGACATCAAAAACAATTCGCTTGGCAGCATAGTTGTGAGGTTTGTGGGATCACTCATAAGCGACCTTGATCATGACATTGACCATCACTTTTAAGATCAGGTCAAAATTCCTTTAGGAAACTTCTTATTTTTATACTGGAAATGGAAGGAGGAAATTCAAGGTCACGTTTGGACGTAAAATTTCCTGCTTTGTTCGTTTCTGGCATAAAAATGACAGATTTCCTTTGAAAATTTTGTCTTGACTGTGAAAGTGATCGACACAACTGTGTTGCTGAACATTTTTGCTGGAACAAAGTGACAAATTGTTTTGACTTGACCTTGAAATGGCATTGAGTGTGGTAGTCAAGGTCATTACCAAGGTCATCAACTTCTGATTTAAACTTTTTTGCAATCCGCAGTTCCCTAAATATTTAGGTGGGGATATTAAAATGGGACACTCTATATAGAAATAACATTTCTTATTTTTTTTTATTTTTCTCCGATGAAATGGAATTTTGTTGTTTTTTATAGGTTAGATTATGATATGCAATAATCAAAAACTAAAGCATTACATTGTATATATTTACAGTGTTTCATATTTACCTTCCAGCTCTCATGTGTATCTCTGTTGTATGTCTTTCTGTATATCAGTGAGTTATATGCTAATTTAGTTGATGGATAACAATAATCTGATACTAGAAGGGGGCACAGTGAGAATATAGATCACACGAGAACGTCAAAAACTTGTTTTTGAGAAAATTGACACCTAGTATTTTTTTCTTTTTAATCTGTGTACTATCAGTTGATATTTTGTCTCTAAAAAACATTGTGTTCCTTTCGTTATAAGCCAAAAAACAATTTATACGCTGCTTTTCTGCACCCTATTGTCTCGCGTAAATTGTTCAGCAATAACTCTAAGATAAAATAATAAAGCAATACTTTTAGTAAATCGGGACCATTCCCTTGTACAGGGTTTCTAAAAGTGTAGTCCATTTTTTGATAGTGTGAAATTGGGGAGCTTATGAACAGGAGATTCTAGTTTGTTTTGCATATAAACATTTTGTTTAGGTTTTAGTTTGGGAATTTGAACTCAATTTAAGCTACCTGCAGTTTTATACTATCAACAAATCGTCTAGATTTTTGTCTTTCCTGCATTTAATTTGTAACAACCAAACCTACGATAAACATGAGCAACTGCCGTTTGTAAGCAAAATTGTACAAGTTACCTTTCAGTAGATTATCATTAAGTGTAAGGTGTTTTTACTGTATTGTTATACAAAAAGCGGTAAAACAAAATATTTGATACTTGTTTTTAATATATGCATTTATTTGTGATATTTTATTGATGTATGTATATGTTTACCATTGATATACTTTATAAATTATAAATATGATAAGATGAAGGTAATATATGTGAACAAATAATGATATTGAATTAAATTTGTATTTAATATATTTATGTGAATGTATATATTTTATTCATTTGTTGATTTCTTTAATTTCCGTTAGTAATGCATGGTTATGATAATTTATAAATAAAATATTACTTGTGACATTATGGATTTATTGAAGTGCCATTGGAAATTCAGTCTTCCGTTACCGTTTATCCATTGATCTTGAGCGTGACCTTGAGTATGACTTGCAAGGTCATTTGATGGGCGAGACAGTTTTCTGAAATGAATCCCCTATTTTCTGTCAAAACAAACTAGCTTGAAAATCGCTTTAAAATAAATTAATCTCGAAATACTCTTGCGGGTCTTATGGAGGAAGCTTTTAGCTTTAATTTAGATGTTTGGTAACGTCAAAAATAATCATTTCAACTGAGATCAAGAATCTTAAATTTCCATGAGGGGGGGGTTAAAAATCCCCCCATTTTTGATGAAAAAATTATTTTGTTTGGATTAGTTTACTATATTCTAATATTACGTATTAGGTTTGGCTTAGTTGAAAAACAAAGCGTCCTCCTCCTAGTAGCCGTCACAAAAAAAATTCGTTTAGTTGGGCTACCATCCGATAGATGGCGCTTCTATGTAAAGTGCTATCACAGACCTCACAAAATTTAACTAGTCAAAAAGATCCTTTAGGGGTGGTTGGTCGGTGTTTGGGTGGTTTTCTATGGCAACGCATCTTCATAGATCAAGAAACTTGAATTTCCGTGAGGGGGGTTAAAAATCCCCCATTTTTGATGAAAAGATTATTTTGTTTGGATTAGTTTATTATATTCTATTACGTATTAGACTTTGCTTTGTTAAAAAACAAAGCGTCCTCCTCCCTGCTTGCATTGGGGATTACTGAACGGATTTCATCAGCCCAAGGTAGTCATTCAAAATGGTGGACCTTGTGATGGCTACCGATATCCAGCGCCATCTATTGGTGAGGGTGAGTAGCCAAATAAAAAAATAATCATCCGTATACCGTCCTTGAGGTGCGAGTGCAAAAGTGGATTTCACATCTAAAAAAATGGCGACTATGGAAAAGCATAGCTTAAAGATGAACGTTTCCAATAGTGAACACGTTTTTTCAAATAAAAAATTCCTTGCGTCCGAAATAAATTTGGGAATCACATTTTTGAAACAACCCTCGTATATTGAAAACTAACTTTAGAGAAAATTTACAAAGGACCTTTCTTGTTGAGAATGATCCGAGAAAAAAAATTGTGGGAGCGAAAAAAGGGCAGTCAACCTACTTAACGCCATTTTTTTTAGGAATCAACATATAGTATATAGTCCAGTGGATTAGGCGCTGGTCCGGGTGAATTTTAACACATGAATCTGGTGAAAAAATACTTTATTAACAGTACATAATATCGAATAATTATCTTTAATAACAATACTAATGAATAAGGTATACAATTAGGAAATATAATACTTATAAATTAACAGTATAAAAATATACATGCCATATCACAATCACGTTATCAATAATGTTACACCATTAGTGATGTAGTAATTATTTTCTAAACTGGCAAACTAATAAATTATCATTAAATATATGATCATATTGTCGGTAATCACGGTTTCTTAGTTTTACGAATTCCATTAGGAATCAAAATAAATTCGACGCCATATTGCATTTTAATAGAAAATCTGATAGAATTTCAGCATGGGATTATTAAAGAGCAAATATTAAGCTGGAAGACACAATGCCTTGAAAATCCAAGTTGCCTATATCAAAGCATAAACCTAGATAGAAATCGAAACAGTCCATTCATTGAGAAATATAAATATAGCCAAACCTATAAGAAATTACAAAATATATAAATTTTAGTATTTCTAGTGTATATGTAAAAACATGGAATTTCTTAAAAATCCGTTAAAACACAAAAACAATACGTTATTGGAGTGATCTACATCTACATTTTTACCAATTTATACAGTAGCGGATAAAAGTTTGGAAACAAATATTAACATTATTGTGAACTATTTCATATATCTAAATTAAAATTGTGAAGGAAACAGATTTTATAAATATTAAAGTCTACCTTTGGCTGCCGTACTATTCTTATAAATATTCAAATTCTCTGAAAATGAAAACACGCCTTTTTTTAAATGCCAAAAGTATGGAAACATTTCTGTTTTGCCGTATTTATTCGTTCTGCGATAATGTGATATTGCGTGCGGTAAAAATTACCATCACTGAGAATGGCAAAAGTAAAAGAATTTTCAAAAGATTTAAGAGACAAGGTAGTTGAATTATTCAGAAGTGGTGTCACAAATTTTGACATTTCTCAAAGATGAACGATTTCGAAAATTATTTGTAAATATTAAGAATACGGATCATCAGCAACGCGGCCAGCTGCGGAAAACCGAAGAAAACAGATTATGTTTTGGATCGCTACACTGAACGTTTGTCCCATGAAGATCCTCGAATGGCAGCTGCACAGATTTTCAAAAGAATCGTAGAAGAGGGTGCCGAGAATATTTCTGTCAGGGCAGTGCAGAGACGCTTGGTGGATTTTGGGCTTTCTGGTAGGCGTCCAGTGCAAAAACCTCTCATTTCAAAAAAAAAATTGTATTGACAGGCTTGAATTTCCAATAACTCATCTAACTTGGACAGAACAACAATGGAATACAGTTTTATGGAATTGTTAAAATTGTTGGGAAAATTGATCAAAAACTTTACAAAGATATTCTTAGTGAACACATGCTCCCTTTTGCTGAAGAATAAATGCCTTTACGATGGACATTCCAGCCAAATAATGACACCAAGCATTCCTCAAAATTCGTACTGGTCAAGACTAAAAAATGTTTATGTTCTTACATGGCCTTCGCAATCACCCCCTAGACCCTATAGAACATTTCTGGGAGCATGTTAAACAGCAACTGACAAGAAATACTTTTAAAAATAGGAACGATTTATTTGATTATGTAAAACATACTATCAGACGTCTGTAAAAAATTGGTGTCTTCTATGAGCAGTAGATGTCAGGCAGTGTTGAATGATAAAGGCTACGCTACCAAATATTAGCTAAACAGTATTTTTTGAATCATTTTGTAGTTATTTTGTAATAAAATAAGTTTCCATACTCTTGTCGCCTCATTTTTTGTAATAAAATGATATGAAGGTATAGTCGAGGTATTTTAAAAAATCTAAACTTATCAACGGAAACGAATAAAGAGATGAAAATACTTGCCTTCTGGAGTCCGAAGTATTAGCTTTCTTATGCAAAAGTCGCCAGGTCCGTTATTTTCGGAAAAGATAGTTCCTGGACAGCGAAAAGCGCGCTTTATACGCAAAAAAGTAATATATTCAACATATGCAATTCATTTATTCAAAACAGGTGGTGCCCTAAACGGAAAAAATTCTCTCCACGTAATTTATAGTACTCGCCGAGATGTACAAAATAAGCCATGCGAAATTCCTTTTATCTTTGGCATAAAGGAGATATCGGAGGTTTTACGGCATATCGCCATTTTTCCCGCCTTTTCTTTGAAAATTTCTAGAAAATAAACTAAGGATTGAATCAGAACATGAGCTACGTCATAGGACCCGCTCGTCATTTAGCTATCGAATGAGACCAATCTCGAGTCGAAATTTTGATAAACGGCGAAACGTAGCCTGCCAAAGTCTTCGTACTACGCGAAAAAACACTGTTTTTTCGACTTTAACAGCTGTTTTAAAACGCTTTTCGTCCTCGTACCAAGACGCTTCTTACTTGCTCGTAAAACGCCGAGTTTCTAGTTTCCGAAACGATATCGTTGTCCGATAAAACCTTTCGCGAACCGTCAAAAAAGTCGGAAAAACCGCGCCAACGTCGAAACGCTCGATCCAGACTCGAGAGAGGAAGTGAAAAAAAAACAAACAAAAGATCACCGCTTAATATTGTCGATTTTAATGCTAGTCTGTAGTGCCTCAGCAAACACAAATCCACAATTTGTATCCTCAAGACTGTTAGCAAACTATATGAGAAAAAAGTCCTTAATAATGAAGAATAAATAATCAGCGCACTTTTTAAAATGACTAAGAATGTTTTCAAACTTTTGTCCGCTACTGTAGATAAACACTTTGCCAGTCTCGTGTGAAGGTCGAATGGAAAGAAACCCGCTACTCACAGCAGTTTTCAAATTGGAACAAGCATGTTACTATTACGAAAATACGGGCATTGACGTTAATCGCTGCTAGAGTTCACGCTGTATTGTGCGGTTTTCTTCTTTCATTATTGAGGTACATAAACTATGCTATAGATAAATAATTAACCTAAAAAAAGTGGTAACCGTGACTTTAGCTGATACCGCATCACGTGAAATTCTATCCAGATTTCCTCAAAACTTCACAACCAGCAAAGGCGCCATAAGCATTTTTAAAAAAAAATTAAAATCGACCTAATATTTTCAATAAATCAGACTACGTATCCATTTCCTCGTATGTAAGACTTGAAATATTTTGCTTCTTCGACCAACTTTCCTCATTTTCACCGAATGACCTCTCCGACTCGGGTCGATGATCAAGCCTGGTTTCTTCTTGATCGTCCTCTGGTTCTTCCACTTTGTAGCCTGTCCACTCGCTTTCCGGATCGGAAAGCAGAGTACAGGAATCGAATATGTCCTCCAGGTCGTTCTGGGACATATCTGCAATGGAGGAAAATGTTTGAGAACTTCAAAACAGCACACTTTCAAGTTCAGTAGACGTCAAAACGTGAATAATATTCGTGAAATAATAGAGAAGTGTAAATTGTAAAAAAGGGTCTGGTTAATGGGACATAGTCCTAGTGCCAAAAAAAAAAAATCGTGAAATAAGGTTTACAAAAATATATGCACTTACGTTCGTCTATCGTTTGATGTTGTGGCCAACCAGATCCATTCAATTCATCGTCGAATTCCAAATTGTTGTTTATGAGACGTTCATGAGATGTTTGAACTATGGGCGAATCGCTATCAGTCACGTCGAATATTTCGGTAACTTTAACCTGCAAAAACATATAAAACGTCAATATATTGCATTTGTATCATAGTTTTACCTCCTATGCTACTAGTAGTAGTAGTAGTAGAAAGATTTATTTAGCACATTTGGCTACATAAACAGAACAATTGTAAACAACTTAGAACTAGTAAATTCAAGCCATATGGTGTATGATGTAAATGCTGGGCAACCTATAATTGTAGATTTAAAAAGTGATTTCTCAATTTTACTTTACATTTTGTCAAAGTTTTCTGGTCTTTTATCTCCGAGTATAATTTATTATATTCAATCAACCCTTGATGGAATACAGATTTGTAGCATATGTTATACTTTTTGGTCATTAAATGGAAGTCATCTTTATTTCTGGTATTATGTAAATGATGATCGACATTTGATGATGTTAAATTAGTTAGACTTGATGGAAATATATTATTTTTTACTTTATAAATGCATATCATTACAAGATATTTGATAAAATTTTTTACATTGAGCCATTTTAATGTGCTAAGCATTTGCCTAATTGGAGTATATTTATCTTTATTTAGTAATATTCTCATGCACTTATTTTGTAAAATTTGCAGTCTTTCAAAAATGGAATTATTTGCTAAATATAGAATAGTCGAACAGTACAAGAAATTTGGAAGAATGATAGTATTATAGATAATTTTTCTGCTATATGAACTCAGACATCCAGAAACTCTCGATAAATATCCCACTTTACTACTAATCTTATTTATAACTTTTTCATAATGAATATCAAAAATTAATCGAGAGTCAACAAAAACTCCCAGGTATTTAAAATTTTCTACGAATTCAATATCTTCACCATCAATATTCAGTTGAACATTTGTACATTGTTTTTTTCCGATTAACAAGGCTTTCGTTTTACTTGTATTTAATTTTAGTCTGTTAGATGCTAACCATTTTGAGACAAGCTTCAAGTCTTCATTCATATAAGAGATACCAGACTGAATATTTTTAGTACTTATATAAATCATAGTGTCATCGGCGAAAATTTGAATTTTGCATTTTTTGACTATGGCAGGTAAATCATTTATGTATAAAATAAAAAGAAGTGGTCCCAGGATACTGCCCTGTGGAACACCCAACGTATTTTCAATTTTTGATGAAATAGTGTCATTAACTTTTGTAACTTGCATCCTTTTAGACAAATAATTTCTAAACCAATCTAAAACACTTCCTGTTATACCATATGCCTTCAATTTACCTAACAAAATATCTCTATCAATCGTTTCAAATGCCCTCTTCAAATCCAAAAATACTGCTATGACAACTTCTTCTGAGTCTATGGCTCTTCTCCAACTCTCAGTTAGGAGGAAGTATTGTAATAGCAACAAAAAATCGAAAATGACCCTCTCTAACCATTTCATATTGCCTTCCAGAACCAAAAGGTTATATACATATATATGTAGTAATGGACAAAAGTATATAGACAAATTAATATTGTGCTGTATTTCTATTTTAACTTGTTTTATTAATACACCAACCTGTATACATGATTCGTTATAGCATAATACTCGCTTATACATAAATAAATTCATTAGACCATAAAAAATTAATTGAAAAAAACTGGAACTATTAAGGACACAGCGAAACATATAGAAAAGAGAAGCAAAGTTCATTGAATTATAGAAAACCAACCATGTCTGTGTTAATATTTTGTAGCATAACCATTAATATCAATCACCGCCTGGCATCGTCTCGGCGTAGATTGTAGAAGTTTCTTGATATAAGATTCATCAATATGTCTCCACTTTTGCTCTAAAGCAGCAAAAAGTTCATCCTGGTTTGAATAATTTTTATCTCGTATTTGCTCATCTAAGTATTCTCATAGATTTTCAATGAGGTTTATATCGGGAGACTGTGAAGGCCATTCGAGAACTGGTATTTTTTCATCCAGAAAGAATTTCTTTGCGAGATTTGAAGAGTGCTTCGGGACATTATCTTGTTGGAAGATCGATATTAAGGGCATATTGTCTTCCATATGGGGTAACATGACATGCTTTAGTACATCTGTGTATACAAACTTATCCATAATGCCATCTATTCTATGTAAAGGTCTCATCCCAAACCCCGAAAAGCACATCCAAACCATAGCAGACCCGCCTCCATGTTTGACAGTGGGCCAAAGTTTACTTGGGGTTCAATCTTTGTCCATTAGGACGTCTAACGTAATGAACACCCTCTGATCCAAACATATTGAACTTGGATTCGATAACTGATCTAGCATTTAGTTTTCTAGGCCGACCACTTCTCTTTGAGGTTTCCAAGATACCTTTTTGTTTATATTTGTTCAAAATTGCCCAAACTGCTTTACGCTTCAGCTTCAAATTTTTGCCAATGTCGACTTGACGTTGACCATCTTTGTATAACTCAATGATCTTATTTTTTACATCGAAAGACATTTTTGGACCACGCGGCATGGTCTCAAAATCACTGAATTTATTCCACAATACTTGATGAACGCAAACTAATCCTCTTCTGACACGAAACTGTACTAAACTAATGTTGAAAAGAATTGGTCTACATATTTTTGTCCCTCATAAAAAAGTGCTTATACTCAAACTTGTATTGTGTTCATTGCAGATAATGTAAGAACAAGGAATTTAGTTTTTCTACTAATAACGCATTTGTTTATGGAGCAATGAAGTATGAATTCGTTTTCTAAAGGTATTTACGTAAATATTTGTCTATATACTGTGGTCCATTAATGTAATAATTGTATAAGTGCTTGACTTGATGCCTTTTTTTGTGTTGGGTCAAGATTTATAGATATACATGCTTTTTTGAGGTTGAAAAGAAATAGCAAACCAAAAATATTTAAATTATACACATTTTCGTACCTTATTATTTTCATCCAAATAATAGTAAGCCATGATCGTATCGTGTTGAGAGGTAACTTTGAGAATATGGTCGAAAGTATCGTTATCCATTGTATCACTTCGGTTTATGGTAACGCTTGGTTTACAGAGGATTTCTTTGGTTTTGAACTTGCGAGACTGTCCGTCGTTCATCTCCAGCTCACTGAAAAAAAAAGATCTGAAGGTTAAAGTGGATAAAAAATCAAATCGACACGCGCTCCTTCACAAAGGCAATTCAATCATTGAAAAATTTGAAATCGAAATATGCAAGCAACATTGGGGGTTACTGAGATTTAAACCTGTAGATCCGACAATTTTTTAGTACGAATAGTTGGTGTGCTGTTCAGTGTTGCAAAAGATCACGATTTAGTTGGAAAAATAAAAAAGAAACGATTTTTTTGTTTTTACAGCAAATTCTCAAACTGTTTTCCTTCAGCCGCAATACACGCTCGACATCTTCTTAAAAAAGATCGAGTTATTAAACGAGCGAATCCACGGTTATTAACAAACTCAGCTGCTCAGTCTTTGCCGTAGCTCAGCTACATTTTGAATCGGCTTGAAATACACTTTTTCTTTTACAGTTCCCCAGTAAAAAAAATCTAACGGATTCAAATCTGGTGACCGGGCTGGCCACGGTATTGTACCAGACCGCTCTATCCATCTGCCTGGAAAGTTTTGATCGAGATACTCTCTCACTGAGAGTGCATAGTGCGCTGGGCAGCCATCATGCTGAAACCACATGTCCCTGTAAATACTCAGTGGCACGTCCACCAACAAATTTTGTAGATGATTTTTCAAAAAATCCCAATAAACTTCAGCAGTCAAAGTCTCTGGGAACTCAAACGGACCGATTATTTTACCATTTAAAATTCATGTTCAATGGTTTATCTTGAAGCGATATTGAGATTTATCTTCTCTCATCAAATGTGGGTTTGCTACGTGCCACTCGTGTAAGTTGTGCAGGTTCATGTACCCATCTTTCTTAAATGTGGTCTTATCCGACCATAAAATTTTTTCAAAGAACTGTGGATCTTTCCTGTGTCTTTCTAACATTGTGCGACAAAAAGCAACTCGGGGCTCATAATCCCGGGGCAGGAGAGGTTGAACACGCTGTATGTGGTATGGATGAAGCACATCACTTACTTGCTATTGCACTCTTTGATACCGATCAGTACTGCTTCGTTTACTGCGCATCTTTACATGTTCGTGCTTGTTGATTTCGTGCTGTTACTAATTTTGGATTCGTGAACAGGACTGTTGATCGCTTGTGATTTGGATTTGGACTGTTTAATTGCTCTTCAAAACAACATTTGCTTTCCTTAGACTATCTTTGATAGTGTGATTGTGCAGTGCCGCTATGTTCGTGAACACCGTACAATAATATGCTAACATGCACCTCATTTATGGGGAATGCAGATTCAACGCTAGTGCTGCAGCGAGACTTTACTGTGAGAGGTACCCGAATGCAGCTCGTCATCCAGATCATCGAGTGTTCACAAATGTGCACCGCTTACTGTTCTCAGAGGGCCAACTACCAAACCAATCACACGGTGAGGGAAGATCTTTCCTTCCTTACGAAGACGTGGTGCTAGGAGCTGTCGAAGAAGACCCGAGTACTTCAGTGCGTGCAATAGAACTAAAAACAGGTGTGCCCAGAAGTACAGCCCATAGAATCTTGCAAAAAAACGTGCTCCATCCATACCACGTACAGCGTGTTCAAGCTCTTCTGCCCCGGGATTATGAGCCCCGAGTTGCTTTTTGTCGCACAATGTTAGAAAGACACAGGGAAGATCCACGGTTCTTTGAAAAAATGTTATGGTCAGTTGAGACCAAATTTAAGAAAGATGGGTACATGAACCTGCATAACTTACACGAGTGGCACGTAGCAAACCCACATTTGATGAGAGAAGATAAGTCTCAATATCTCTTCAAGATAAACCATTGGACAGGAATTTTAAATGGTAAAATAATCGGTCCGTTTGAGTTCCCAGAGACTTTGACTGCCGAGGTTTATTTAGGTTTTTTGCAAAATCATTTAGAAAATTTATTGGAGGACGTGCCACTGAGTATTTACAGGGACATGTGGTTTCAGCATGATGGCTGCCCAGCGCACTATGCACTCTCAGTGAGAGAGTATCTCGATCAAAACTTTCCATGCAGATGGATAGGGCGGTCTGGTACAATACCGTGGCCAGCCCGGTCACCAGATTTGTATCCGTTAGATTTTTTTTACTGGGGAACTGTAAAAGAAAAAGAGTATTTCAAGCCGATTCAAAATGTAGCTGAGCTACGGCAAAGACTATTGGAAGCAGCTGAGTTTGTTAATAACCGTGGATTCGCTCGTTTAATAACCCGATCTTCTTTAAGAAGATGTCGAGCGTGTATTGCGGCTGAAGGAAAACAGTTTGAGTATTTGCTGGAAAGGTAAATCATCATCAGCAGCATTTTGACGCCCACTGTTGTGCAAACAGTAATCCTTAAGGGTCCTTGTGTGTTTTCATAATCGCTGTTTAATTAGGAAATTTTGAAAAATTTTCATCAGTTTTTCTTCAAATAAAAATTGTGCATAAGTTAACGAGTAATCTTTTGAGTGTTATACCATTTTGGAATCCTTATTAAATGCGCCAACTTTTAAGGTTACTTGCCAAACTCTCGTAGTACATTTTTTTCCAGTACAGCCAGTTAAAGTTGAGCAAAGTTTTACTTTGGAAATAAGTGGCAATTTTTCCTGAACGAGAAAAGTTGGCAGTAAGGTTGAGACATCAGTTTGAAGATGCATTATTCATCATTACATTGTAAAAATAAAATCCAAAAAAGTTAATATTTGTAGTAACAGGAGTTGACAGACTGCCGTAGGGTGTGAAATTTCTATATTTTTTTCAACGACCTATCATTTTCAAAACACATATATAAAATTGTTATGACTTTGCCTATCACCCAGTTTCGGCTTGACGTCGACTTCTGGGACACCCTGTATATTCTACTCCATCCTATATCTAACTCGAATTTCTATTGCTAGGATTGATTCAAAAATAAGGATCCCACATTTTTTTCAGACACAATGAATTTTTTATTTTAACATAGTCGCCATTTTTTCTACTCGTTTTTTTTTTTAGACGTGAAATCCACTTTTGCACTTCCGCCTCAAGTCCGTCAACACCCCGTTTGGAAACTTAGTAACTGCTCCTTGCAATACCTATATAAGGACTGTAAGGGGATGTGCAATGATTTTCCAGCCAAATCTCTTGATCAAGTCCTTCGTTTATTGTAAGACATGAAGATGCGCATTATTGTGGTGCAATCTTACGCTTTGGCGAGTTTCCCCTACGATGATTTTGGATTGCGCACCTCAGCTTTTATAGAAGCCTCGGGAATTTCAACCGCTTGTTCCCGCATCGTGATTCGTCGATCTTCGAGCAAGATTTACTCAATCATCGCCACAAGTTCCTCGTCTCCTACTTCACTGTTCATAGTGGATGTTCGTGCAGCCGTCAGATAATTCTATTTACCATTTGAGAACATGTTGAATGTTTATTCACGTTTACCATGTACTTCGTTCAAGTGGCGATGAATTTCTATCGGTGGTAACATTTTTGCTTGCAAAAATCGAATGACCGCACGAATTTCGCACTTGGCGGTGACGGCGATGAGCATCGGAAATAGGCGCTTCTTGTTGGGGTCGGTGGCGGCCCAACCAACAATTATCACTCCTATTAGAGTTGCAAGAATGATTATACAGTATTCCTTAAACAGCATTGTATACTGTAAGAATATTGGCAAAACCCTCTTAGAACAGCTATACAAGCGGAATGGGCACACCTAATAGGACATTTAAGAGGTTGTATAAGGGCTGCAGGTAACAGTTATACAACAGAAGTGTAAACCTCTTGCAGCCGCTAGAGAACACTTGCGTCAGTGCAAGATTCAGTTTTTGTCAACTATACAACTATTCTGTTACGTGATTCTACTTTATTGCCACCAAACTATTTCGTATGTATTGTATAGACGAAGTGAATAATATATAACTAACACACACACACTTGTATAAGGGCTGCAGGTAACAGTTATACAACAGAAGTGTAAACCTCTTGCAGCCGCTATAGAACACTTGCGTCAGTGCAAGATTCAGTTTTTGTCAACTATACAACTATTCTGTTACGTGATTCTACTTTATTGCAACTAAACTATTTCTTATGTATTGTATAGACGAAGTGAAGAATATATAACTAACACATTACAGTCATATTCGACCATTGTGAATTTCATACACAGGTATATGATAAACTTCTACACTTTGATATAGGGCTATTGAATTACTTGCGCAGCAAATTTTATTGTGATTATCGTACAAATTAGTTACCCAATTTCTAAGGGCTTCGTATTTGATTCATATTTTGACAATGATCAAAAGTATGTCTAGATTTTTAAGATGGAAAACTGAACTTATCTGCGTTAAATCTTCCACAAATCCTATATTTAGACACAATTACACTAATGTTTATCACTTTATATCTGTAATTTCGAACTGAAACATAATTATTTAATATTAAATAGAAGAATAAATGTTTGCCCAATATGGCGGGTGGTTGTGTACAATCATGTTGTTCTTTAGGTTATTAGAATATTTTGGTGTTGCCTGCAGGTGTTATACAACAATTTGACAAATGTCTGAAATGAAATACCGACAGAGTCGAATGATTTACCCAGAACTTGTACCAGATCTATATCTTCTGTTTGAACAGTTGATAAAACCTTTTGAACCAATATAATAATAATAATAATATTTATTCACTCAATGTACAAAGATAACAAAAAATATGAGTAAATAAATATAAAATCAAAACAGGCCCAATAGAAGGCATCGCCTGTACATGGACCAATAAATTTAAGTTGAAACTGTAGAATGCAAATGACAAAAAGGACAAAAATTAGCTACAGTAGATTATGTATTTAGTTGATGTTCGTATTTATGAGTTTATGAATTTCAGTCCTAGATATAGAATGTAGCCACTTTTTTAAATTTCTTTTGAAACAATTTCCGAAACGTAAATCTTTTAAGTCTTTAGGTATAATTTCATAAAATTTAGGCGCTAAATAGAGATATGATCGCTGCATTATAGATTTATGCGGTTGAGGAACTACTGTGCCACGAATTTTGTACCTGGTATAATGATTATGTTTAATTTTTTGGTCGGTGTTTACACATTTATGGTAGTGAGTGATACTGTGTAAGAAATAAAGCTGTCTTATATCATACATTCGAACATATGCGTATAATTTTTCGGTGGGATAAAGTTTCGGTTTTTTAAATATCATTTTTAGAATACTTTTTTGAAAAACATCTAAATTATAGATATGTGAGGAACATGCAGCTCCCCATGCTAATATACCATATGTGAGATGAGGTTCAATCAGTGCATGGTATAATGTTCGAAGATATTTTTCTCTCAATATATTCCCAAGGTATTTAATTTTGTAGGATACAAATCTAACTTTCTTTAAAATATAATTGACATGGATGTCCCATCGTAAGTGAGGATCCAAGACCACTCCAAGGTATTTTATGTTGGGCACTCTATTAATTTGCATTTTTTGATCATTAATATTGAAGGAGAAATTTGTGTAATTTGGCAGATGTCTAGCATATAATTAATATTAATTCCAAAGGTTTTTGAATCATTTGTAGCAGATTTTTTGAAGGAAAAATTTAAAAATGTTATAATTGCACAGCAACATGGTTTCTGTGAAGGAAAATCTGTAACTTCTAACCTTTTAGTTTATCATTCACATATAGTTGAGGCATTGGAAAATGGGCAATCTGTTGACTCAATTTATACAGATTTTGGGAAAGCATTCGACAAGTTGAATATAGATATTCTCATTGAAAAGCTCTCTTGTTACGGATTGCATGGAATTTTATTGAACTGGTTAAGATCTTATCTTTCTGAAAGAGAGCAATTTGTAAAAATTAAAAACTGTCTCTCAAATCCAATTGCTGTCTTGTCTGGTGTACCACAAGGTGCGCACCTGGCACCCATTTTATTTATAATTTTTGTCAATGACATAGCCCAATGTTTTAAATTCTGTTCTTTTCTTATCTATGCTGACGACGTCAAGATCTATTTACATCTTTCTGATAATAACTCAACATTAAAGATTCAGAGTGACCTTGATCAATTTGTTAAATGGAGTGAAGAAAATAGAATGATCCTTAACACAGACAAATGTAAATACATTCAATTTTCAAAGTCTAACAATAATATAGTCAGCAGTTATCACATAAATAATAACCAACTTCAAAATGTGAATGTTGTTAAAGACTTGGGTGTTATATTTGATAGCAAAGTAACATTTTATCAGAACATAGAGGTTATAAGAAATAAAGCTTTAAAAATGTTGGGCTTCATAAAAAGAAATACATCTGAATTTACTAACATTGGAGCTATAGTAACTCTCTATACTTCACTGGTGCGATCTCATCTAGAAAATTGCAGCAGCGTGTGGTCTCCATATTATGTAACTTATCAGGACATGCTTGACGGGGTTCAGAGAAAATTTCTACGATATATAGCTTACAAAAAACACATTTCTATTGAGAATTTAGACTATAATGCTCTTGAAAAGGAGTTAAGGATTGGATCCCTAAGAGCCAGGAGAGATTCAGCAGATATTGTTTTTGCTTATAAATTAATTCATAGTGTTTACCACTGCCCAGACCTGCTTCTAAAGCTAAATTTTTATGTTTCTCCTAGGCATTTAAGAGAACGAAGATCCTTTGAACCTTGTCGGCATAGAACTTTGTATGGCTCGAATAGTAGCATGGATAGGATAATGAGAAATTGTAATGACTGTGATATAGACCTTTTTAATACTTCACTATGCTCTCTCAAAAAGTTCCTTAAAGATAGAAATCTTAGCTAAAGTTTTAAAATGTCTTAATTGCTGGTGATGTTTGCTGTGTTGTTTAGTTGTTCAGTTTTTTTTTTTTTAGTATTTGTTTGTAACTTTTTTATGCACGTTTTAATATTTTAATTTAGTAAATAGTCAAACTTTATGTTCATATGTTAGATACTTTATTTATGATGTGTGTGAATTTTATTAGGTTAAGATTGTACTTTTACAACCTGTAACCGAATGGGTTTATCCCGTAAATTTGTAAATAAATAAATAAATAAATAAATAAGATCCAAATGGTAAAAACTGTGTTTTAGAGTAGTTAATGCTTAATTTTCTATTGTTAAACCACCGAATAATTTTGATAAAATCATTTTCAATTACATTTTTCAGATCAGACCAGTCAGTGCCTTCATATAATATTGCAGTATAATCTGCAAAACTAGTTATTTTGCCAACACAATTAATTTGGAAAATATCATTTAAATATATATTGAATAACAGCGGACCTAAGACAGTTCCTTGTGGGACACCACACTTAATATACATTTCTTTACTAAATGATCCTGATATCTGCACAGATTGTGGGCGATTTGACAAATAACTTTCGATCAGTGAGTACGCGTTTCCTCTGAAACCAATTCTCTCCAATGCTTCTAATAATAATTTGTGATTAACTGTGTCGAAAGCTTTCTTTAAATCAACAAAAATGCAGATTGAAGGGATTATGTTATCAATATTTTGATGTATTTGATTTACAATTTTAGTTATTGCGTCCGATGTAGCCTTCCCTTCTGTAAATCCATATTGATTTTCACTTAAAATTTTGAATTTTGTGAGGTATCGAATCATTCTAGTAGATAAAACTTTTTCAAAAACCTTTGCTACACTGGATATTATTGATATTGGTCTATAGTTGTTAACATCTGTTTTTGTTCCTGATTTATGTATCGGTATTATATTACCTTTTTTTAAAATTGAGGGATATATGCCAGATTCAAAGCATTTGTTGATTAGGTAAGTGAGTGGTTCTGTTATGTCCTCGGCTATAATTTTCAAATGCTCGCTTTTAATACCATCGAACCCAGGACTTTTCCGATTTTTTAAGGACATAACAGTGGTGTATACTTCACATTCATATGCATGCGTTGTTTGTCTTAAAACATTGGTTATGGCATTTTAACAAAAATATAACAGCAGAAAGTTAGGTTATGGTGAAGTTGTTTACCAACATATTTAGCATAATATGTATAACCTTTAACAGTTACTAAAGAACAGTTGTATAAGTGCTACCGTTGGTAGTAATTTGTTGGCTAAGGTAGTAAATTGCACAGCAAAACAACAAGGCTCGGGTTTGTTTTATAAACGTTACCATGGATGCCACAACACAAACATTTTGACTAACTTGCAAATATGCCGTATAAAATAGTTGTATAAACGTTTATGCAACAGTTAAAAACTTGACCTATAAGGTGTTGTATAACTATGCTAAGAGAATATCTTAAACACCTCATTTTAGAGCAAATATGTTGCAGAAAGCAAATTTGTATTCCACACAACATTAAGCCAGCATTTTGGTGTTCAGGCAACAACAATAGAGAGCTTTTATGGCTGAACGGTTCTTTTACCAAAAGCTTATACCACTACTTTGCCAGTTGGGGGGGATCCGACAAACACGACGGGGCGTTGCCAGATTTCGCCTAGAATCACGAGCGGCTGAGGTACAGCCTTGGGAACCTTATTTTTGAGATTACCCTCGTACAATATGTCCGAAATTCTTCCATACGTAAACAATGAACAAAACCATCTCGTGTCAGAACATACAGCTACCACCAGCTGTTGTACGTATCAATTCAACGGAATATCTTTTAAAACATCTGAAACTATCAATAAATAATAATGATAAGTCGCATTATATTCAGTGCAATAAACAGAAACAGCGGTTTTGAAATACATTTCTTATCATTTTATTGTTTACAGCTCGCGACAATCAAAAATTTTTATCCAGATTTATGATATCAACATATTTTCTATATTAGAAACATGTTTGCCGTGACGTCTTAAGATTTCTTTCTCGGTCTATTTGATACGCAATATTAACTGTGATTTTATAGCTAACCAGGATTAAGCTCTTAAAATGTGTTTTTCAATGTCAGGTTTGTCCCAAAACGGCAGTTAACTTTAACCAGAAGAACATCTACTGGTTAACTAGAAAGTTGTGGGTACACCGCAATTTCTAACCTTTTTTTGCTTGACACTGACATGAGTTTTCGCGGATGACATGACACACAAACATCGAGCGTCACAAAATCCACAAAACACGATGTTTCAGACGTAGGGGCAGCGTTGCCAGATAAACCGTGACCTGTTAGTTAACCAGATATTGAAAAGCGAATATACGGACAACTACTAGTTAACTTACAGTTATATTTGCCAAACTTGAGAGTTGAGCAGCGAATGAAAAAACGGGCTTTTCTGTCGCTCGCCGGTTGAAGAAGCGAATTCCGTTTGTGACGTACAACCACCGACGACGACGCTTGTCCATCGGGGGACCACGTCACAAGTATCGACACCCGACTGTACGACAGGTTGGGGTTGTAAACGTATACATAAACACACGTCAAAGAATTGAGATAAACCCTCCCCACCGCTGCAGCCAGTAACCCACAGTTTTTAGGCCCGAAAAAACAATTCCGAAAATGATCAGGATCATTTGAAACGTCAAAAAAACGAAGTTCGGTAGATTTTTTTTCAAAAATGTTTCGTCCATGGCATAGTAGTAACACAGTGTAAAAATTTCATCAAAATCCGAGCGGTTATAGACCGACACACAGGCAAACAAAAACGTTTTTTCGTCATGCACATGTCATATAATATCCAAAACAACGCAATACCGAAAATATTCGCGATTACATTTCCCCGCAAGTAGGCATGGGAAGTCAAAATGTTCAGGATGCCATAAAAAACTGCAGAAAAAAGTGTCCACCCTGTATAACGTTAACTGAACATCTATGTCCGTCTCGGATGAACTTTGTAGCTGCGGATAACAACTGTATTACTCACCTATCATCCAGATTAAGTGTAAAGTTCAAGTTCATCTTATTTTCGCTGCTCAAAGCCTGGCACGCCTCGACGTCGTATTTATCTGTGAACAAAAACGATTCTTTAGTCGGAAGTTAAAAGAGCATAATGACGCATCTTTTTAAACACAATATGCAGGATCTTATTGTCTGACGAAAATTACGCTTCTAAATTCTGAATTCATTTATTTTACTCTATATTACAAGTCTAAACTTGGAAGTTGCTTGAATCTTGGAATGTTGAATGAATTATATTTACAGATTTTGCTTGCTCAGCAGAATATTTATGTGTAATTAATAAAAAGCATAGTGGTTGAGCATTTTATAATAATAATAATAATAATAATAAATGGCCTTTATTCGTCACACGATAAATTCGTATTCGTATTCGTTTTGTGATTTTAGTACAAATTAGACAGTAGGAAAGAAAGTACAGGAGTTTCTAGTTATGTCTCTTTCATGGTGGAGCTCTTAGAGAATTTGTAAAAAGTTTCACAATAAAAATTTAATAATTGTGGAACGAAGTTTGCCTCAATTTAGAAACGTTGACAAATGAGACTATGAGAACTATCTAAGACCTGGTCATCAGTGTCAAGCATTCTTTTATGGAACTTCATAAAATTTCTGTTTAAAGATAAAGCAAGCAACACTTATGTAATTTCCTATTTTTTTATCTCGTACCTACTAACAAAAAATATAATAAGGGAAGATATAGAATTGACTAATCAATGCATATTTTTTATTCAATATGTACATCGCCTCTCGGATGAGTTCTCCGAATTCTTAGTATGATGCTGATGAAAAAATATCATGAGTTTCTGTGTCAGCTATTAAGAAACTGATGAACAAAATGACATCTGGTCAGGACAATATACCATCATGTTTAATCAAGGTTACTGCCTCAACGATAGTTACTCCTATCTTTTTATACAACTTATGCTCAAAAACCAATACATTTCTGAATATCTGAAAAAAAACGAAGGTATGTCCTGTGATGACAAAAATATTATTACTAATTATAGGCCTGTGTCAATTCTTTTTATGTTTGCAAAGATCTTTGAGATAATTTTGTACAGCCGCATTTATTCGGAAATTGAGTAACAGCTATATCTGGAGTTCCTCAGGGATCAAACTTGGGACCGTTACTTCTCCTAATTTTATAAATTATTTATTGTATGGTAGAAAAACTTGGTTTGTTGATTATTTAAAATTACATAGCAAAATATCTACCGTCTCTGATTGCTTGGAACTTCAGATCCAGATTGACCCAATTCAGAACTGGTGGAACGATATGTGTAATGTAGATAAGCGTAAGGTAGAGAGTTTCACAAGAGAGAATTCGTAAATTTTAAATACTTCGAAGTTGAGTCATTTATTTTAACAGTGAGTAGATCTGATCAAAAGAAATGTTTTTTTCCTTTACCATTTTTCTGGTAAAATTAAAGTAACAAAGTTATAGCCCTTTGGAAGTTTGAGTACCGCCCTGTCTCAATAATAATATCATGTGCTCGTGTTTGGCAACAACGGATATAATCCGCCTTATCGGTTCATCGCATCGGAAACAAAAAAGCGAAAGAATTTGGAAGGATGTTTTTATAATTATTTTATTCAGTTGTATACATACTGTCAGTGTCAGTCGGTAACGCGTGTGAATAGTGGTGTCTGTTGCGTGGCTCAAACGAAATAAAAAATGGCACATGTTTATGCGGATCGGTTTCCCAATCGAGTGCAACCAACCCCTCGTGCCTTTGTTAATGTAGTACAACGGGCTCGTGAATCAGGTGACTTCAGAAGGTTAGGAAGTTAAGTATTATTTTCGATTGTAAGTTGTCTTTTTCTGAACATATTGAGAAAAGTGTATCTCAAGCATTAAGAGCATATGGGTTTTTGATAAGGAATTGTAGAAGTTATGACAATATCAGCACTATTAAAATATTTTACTTACTCTAGATCGAAACTTGAATATGCCAGCATTATATGGAATCGATATTATGAGGTGTATAAAAGTTGTATTGAACGAGTTCAGCGAACATTTCTCAACTTTAAGGTTGACAGCATTTATCCCAAAAGGGAAATAAATAATTAGGAGCTATGTAGTAGATTTGAAATATTTAGTTTGGAGCATAGACGACACTTTACGGCGCCGTTGTTTTTATTTAAATTGCTGCATGGATATGTTGGTTGTTCTGGTGTTCTGGGGCAAGTTGCTGCTGTGCCTCCATATTCATCTCGGCGTAATGCGGCATTTAAGCTACCCAGAGCTAAGACTAATATGTTATTTAAGTCTCTAGTCTATGTTATAAATCCCAAAACAGTCCTTATTTTGTCATGGTTCCTTAATATCCTTTAACTACGTTGAATACTTCTAGATAAAGCAACAATCTAGAAGTATTTTATAGAAAAATTGAACAAAGTATAACCTTATTTGTACATGCAGCTAAAGACCACAGATGAAAAGGTTCGTTTCTTTGAAATTTAAGAAAAAATTCAATATCTCAAAAACGGTGACACTTTTATATAGGTAAGTATTTGTTAGTTGGGAGGCCAGTCCAAAGCCTACCTTCTTCTTAGGTTTGTCGTGGTACTTATTGGACACCCTGTATATACGAGCAGTAATTATTGCCACTGCCAACGACGAGTTTGGCAAAAAATACAATAAATTGTTTATTGGGAATTAGCAAAATTTAAAGCGCAGTGACCTCTTTTGACGGTAACCTCGAGCTTTCGACAAACTATGGTGTCATCTTCAGGAGCTACTTATTGGACACTCGGTATATATATATATATATTATAGTTATTCCTTCAGTTATTACATTATATTGTTTTATCATCGTATAATAGCATAAAATAATTTTTATATTATCCTGTAAATGGGGAAACCGTTGGATAATATATATACAAAATAATAATGCAGCAAGACGTAAAAATGTATGCTGGACACGCCCTAAATCATCTTTCTAAGACTGATAATGAGGAAACCATACTACTGCGGCCTATTCTTTATTAGATCTTACCAAGGGGCAGTATAAAATTCGGAAGGTACCGAGTTGAAACTTATTATCTTTCATATAAGACTGAACGTTTGACTTACTTCTTCCATACTCCGTAATGGCTAACTGGCACGTGATCTTGGCACTGATCTGTTGCCGTTTACTGTTGACTTTGCTGAGCAGATATGACAATTTGTCCATGAAGAATTTGCTGACTTCCCATGCTCCGTTTCCTAGTTGTGGCGCAGCTACCATGAATCTGCAATGAAATAAAAAGGCTAATTTAGATTCTATGTGGAATGGAATATTACAAGAATTTGTCAAGAAATTCAATATTGGGATACAGTGTTTTTCAAAAAGTTCCCCTTCTCCAATCATTTTTTAAATTAGTCATGGATCACGGTCTTAGTACTAATGTCAAAAAAAAACAAATACGAATCATTACAGCTGCCTGGGCAGCGTGACGAAGATACGTCAACAGAAAGTGCAAAATTCTGCTATCGATTTGTTTATGGTCTAAGAAAATATGATCAGATATCAGCAAAATTGCATGAAATTAGTCGGAAAAAACTATAAAATGACACTAAACCTTTTTGTACATAAATTAATAGTGACTTCCACCCATCTTATTTATTTTAAAAGCTTATACCTAGAAGAAACATACATTCTCTAAATTTAAAACGCTCAGTGTACCTCAATTTAGTAAATATAGTATACTATCAGTAGTCCTAAAACTTGTAAAAGTATGCTCAAATCTACAGCACTCCTAGACGGTGTTGCATTTTACAGCATAATGGCAAGACCTGCGACTTAAAATTCAGATCAGGTTTATTTACAAACTAAAGTGGGATATGCAGAGCTAGCATATTTTAACCTGTTTCTAAGACAACAATATGATAAATAAGCTTTTGCAAGATCTTACAGTTATTCAAAAAACACCAGGTACATAAATCCCGATTTCAGGATTCGTGAGTGAGAATAATGCGAGATGGAAAAAACAAAAATATACTGTTTTTAAACTCAATATCCACAGGTGAATGAGATGTTATCATAACAATCACATGAGTAAAAGTCAACGATCGACCGCAAGCAGAATAAACGTAATACAAATGAAAAACAAAATGAGTGTACATACATTATGCGTAATAAACTTGTTATTAAAATGTAATTATCTTACAAGGCCATTTCATTTGCCTACATTCAATGATGAATGCGCGCATATACGAGTATTTATTCGTTATACCAACTACAATTTTTTAAAACAAAATGCAGATTGTATTTATATACAATGTAACTGAACTGTAAATGGAATGATCGTTGATTACTTGAATGGTGTAATGAATGGTGCTTCATTAAACTTATACTTTTTGTAACACTAAATGAGAGTTTTTTTTTTGAGGGATCAAAGGGGGCAATGAATGAATTCATTCAGCTTCAATTTTATTTTCCATTTGACTGTACAACAATGTAGGAAATTTTCACAAAACGATAAAACAGCACAGATTAACAAATGGCATAAGACAATATGTACAACAGAAGCAGTCATAGTGAAAAGAGCCGAATATGTAATTTGAAACGATATTTTCGCTCCTTGACACACATATTGATTCTGTTAAGATGTCAGAATTAATACGGTTAAATCAATGCGATTGTTCCAGAAATGGCGGTCAGAGTATACAAAAACAGTTTTTCGGTCAAATTATATGTAAACCACCATTTTACAAGAAAATGTTTTATACGAAAATATTGTAGATTATCAATAAAGGCATACTAAGGATGTCAGTCAATGAGTTGATAAAGAAAGGTATTACACAAAAATATATATTATACAGGGTGTTTCAGTTTATTGTTGCATAACTTTAAGATTCGATAGAACTTTTAAAATTAATGCATAAAGTCTATATAAACATGGGTCGAAAAATGCGAAGCTTCCGAAATACAGGGTGTTTAAATTTACTTTCTAAAATAGTTTTTTTTAAAATATTTCGAACAATATTTGATGTATAACAGTGAAAATTGGTATACAAGGGTTTTTTGGTACGACAAAACGAACCATGGGCATAGTTTTACTGTAGCCGCTAGAGGGCGCTCTCTACTGTACCTGTAGTGTATTAAAATGACCGAAAATTTTTTCTTAGTGCAATTTTTGCTTTTTGAATAAAAAACTGATTCTTCTCACTTTTCAACATAAAAAAGCTCTCTTGTGAATTTTCGTTATAGTTAGCCGTTTTTGAGATATTTCGATTTTTAAGGTTGGATGCATTTTTAATTATTTATGATAAAATAACGTTAAAAAGTCAGTATCTCGATAATTTTTAGAAGTAGGCTGTGCCTGCAAATATTTTTGAAATTGAAAGCAGAAAAAGGTTAAGCGTCAATTAGTTGACAGTTAGTTTTGTTGTCTGTTGAAACCTGAAACGTTTTTTTGCAATTGTGAATGCACGAAATTTAGTTTCTTTTACCTGTTTTTTTTTTGTAAGTTTTATAAAAATGAAATTTTTATTCTCCAATCAAGAGTTAGCGGATATTCATTTTGTGTGTGGCTTTGTAAAATAATTGAAAATGGTTATGGAAATCTCCAAAGGGATCAAAACATAAATGTTCGTCAGCGCAGATTTACCCGTATGATTCTGCGTGAGTTTGATAGAGATCCGACCACAAGTGTTAGGAGAGTTTCTGGTGCCTTGAGAATTTCAGCAAGCAAGTTCTTAGAAATGACCATAGACGTCCTTACCATTTGCAACCTACAGGACTACAGCCAGGGGACGGAGAACGAAGAATCACATTTTGTCAGTGGATTCTTGATAGAACTGATAATAATAGGGAGTTTTTAAGTAACGTTTTATGGACCGATGAGTCATGCTTCACTAGACGTGGAGTGGTAAATATTCATAATCAACATATTTGGTCGCATGAAAATCCGCATGCAGTTCGGGAAAGAAATTTTCAGCATGAATTTAGTGTGAACGTGTGGATTGGTATCTACCGTAATCGACCATTTGGACCCTACCTTTTGCCTGCAAGGTTAAATGCTGCGACCTTCTTGGAATTTTTAAAGGCTGAACATATGTGGGGATGATGTTATGTTAGATTTAAGCAGATTGGCCTGGTTCCAGCTTGATGGTTGTCCAGCTCATTATTCGAGAATAGTTAGAAACTGGCTGGACGAAAATTCTCCAGAAAGATGGATCGGCCGTGGAGGACCAGTCGCCTGGCCTCCACGATCTCCTCACCTAAATCCATTAGATTTCTTTGTGTGGGGATTTCTAAAAGAAAAAGTGTACCAGACTCCCGTAACCACAAGAGATATGCTAATAGACAGAATCAGGAATGCATGTGATGAAATAAGGCCTTATTTGAATAATGCTATACCACGTTCGATCATTCGTAGATGTGAATTGTGTATTGAACAATTGGGTTTATATTTCGAGCAACTACTTTTGATTTTGTATGTTTGTCCTAACTATCCAATAGCATTTTAGTTGTAAATAATTAATTTAATTTGTTAAAAATAATATTGGAAAATTAAACAAATTAATATTCTGTTTTTTGTGTTTATTTGGAGTTAGGAATTATTGCTGTGTTTAAAAACACAATCTAAATGATCATCTTAATTACTTGTAATGCCCAAATCGAAAATGTAAAAAAAATATTATTTTCCCATAAATAATTAAAAATGCATCGAACCTTAAATATCTCAAAAACGAAAACGAAAATTCACAAAAGAGCTTTTTTATGTTGAAACGTGCGAAGAATCAGTTTTTTTATTCAAAAAGCAAAAAAATGCACTAAGAAAATTTTCGGTCATTTTAATACACTACAGGTACAATAGAGAGCGCCCTCTAGCGGCTACAGTAAAACTATGCCCATGGTTCGTTTTGTCGTACCAAAAAACCCTTGTATACCAATTTTCACTGTTATACATCAAATATTGTTCGAAATATTTAAAAAAAACTATTTTGGAAAGTAAATTTAAACAGCCTGTTTTTCGGAAGCCACGCATTTTTCGACCCATGTTTATATAGACTTTATGCATTAATTTTAAAAGTTCTATCGAATCTTAAAGTTATGCAACAATAAACTGAAACACCCTGTATATATTATTTCTAATTGCTTAGGTCCATATCTACTACAAAAATAAACTCTTTTCGATTAGACTCGATAAAGCCCTAATACTGGATAGCAAAATATGTCCATGTTTAACAATTTTGAAAATATTGTACAGTGTGACAGATTAAATATTTTTCGAAAACAAAGCATTTTCGTTGCTCCGGTTTGATCATACTGCAGTACGTCTACAGAAGTCACTCAGGTCTCAAATATCCCATAGAGTTCTATTATAAAATGTCTTTCACAAAAAATCCAGAGGTATGGACAAAATTGTAAACAGAACGATAAACTTAGCCAAAAAACGTAATATTGGCAGAAACATGAGATATACAAGATACGAGTATGCAAAAAATTGCAACAATAAATAATAACGTTATGTAAATATTTTATGTTCATTAGTTTTGTCGAAAGCAGTTATAATCTGAGCAAAAAAAGCAAGATATGAAAGAAACTCGTAAAACAAAAAAGTTGTTTATTTAGCTGCTTATTTCTGAAAAAATTAAAAAAAGTCAGTGACGCACAAATATTTTCTCAAAGCTATTTTTAAGCAATAATTCCAATTCAAACCTAAATAAAAAACGATTTTTAACAAAATTTTGACACCCTGTATTTTGAAAAGCATTTCTTGACTTATGTTATGTTGACTTCATCTTAAAATTCCTCAAAGAATTACCTGGTGCTTTGACCACGTACTTAAATAGCACCCTTATTGTATAAACAAAAGGACAACACACAAAAATACATGCATTATTCACCTTCTTTCTCTAATAAAATGTTGATGGCATGCATATGTAGGGGTCGACAGCACGGCGTTGCCGAACATTTCGAATTGGCATGACTTTTTTTCATAAATAGGCCCGCTAAAACTGTGAAAATCGAAGTCGGCTGCCTTCCTGTACATTAATCTAGGGCCTGATTTAATGGAAGGTGGAATTAATTGCAACCTGGAAGTTTCGTGTTAGTTTATGGGACACACTTGAATCAAGCGGAAATTGCAGTCACTGCAAACAAAGAAACAGTCTGTTCCGACATTAAAAGACATAGCTGTAGTTGCAGGATATAAAAATACTTGAGGCATTGTATGTGTGTGTCGCTCCCAAAGTAAGTTACGCTATTATTTTAGTCGGTCTGGTTGATGAAAATGTTTCGCGAGACAAGCTATTGTCAAAACATAGCTATTTAACTTTTGGAGTGGATTTCATCAACATTAATATTTGACGGTCCCTTGAACCAATGGGAAAAGGCCTCATCGAAATGCAATTTGAAGGAAGCTGTCAAAGCTCTCTGGATATCAGTGATTTCTATTGAAATATTGAATAAAATCGTGAAAAGCGATAGTGCTTGTAGAAAGCTTGCATCATCTTTTATTACACCAAAAACAAATTATCACTAATGAAATGATCTAGAAATGCTCACCAAATGTAAACACAACAGCACATCCTGCATTCCTGGGTTCATTATTATAAGTCAGAATCAAAAATACCTATTTACGAAAATATTTGTAAAACTTGTAGAAAAATTTTGTTCAAAAATCAAACATTTTTTAAAATTCTGTCTAAATTATATGTAATTTCTTAATATTCAATAAGGTGATGTTTCAATGACAAGCTGTCATCTCATACTTTAGCAATATTTTGTTCTCAGCATTTCACATGCTAAAATTTATCGAATGGATCTTAACATTTTACCCTATGGGTGGAAAAAAAAGGCTTGAAGATTTCCGAGTCTTAGTGGAATCCATCCTTAGGACCCTATACGATTACATTTTGGTAATAAAAGAAGTACGTCAGTTTGCAATTCAAAAGCTTTCTAACCTCAAATCGCTTACTTGATCAATAGTCGGTTAATTTGACAAGGTCGCGAGTTATCTAGACAGCCTGACCTTAAGACGATATATTTATTTATTTCGTATGCCTTTTTTACTTAACCACCAAAAACCGTGGAAAGAGCTGAACACCATTTTGCTTAGTGTAAATGTAGCATTTTATAAATATTTTATGGCAGCTTGGCAACACGGCCTCGCTTTTTTAATTGTAAACCAGTAATAGTCCAAGAGCCGGCCGCAAAGTTTTGAATACATCGTGTACTGATATGTTAAAATCTTCCATATTTTGATGCAAAACAGCAATCTCGGCAGGTTTGCTGTTTGGCCACCAAAAATATGTAGGACGTGACTAGTTTTTATCGTATATCAGTACGCGATGCTGTAACAAAAAAAATACTATCGGGTTCCCTACCATAATGCAGATGATGGTCAATGGGGTCGATCTGCGAATTATGAAGGCATTCTATGAAGTGTACTATTTTTTGATTCGACATAGATTGCTTTCTCAGTAAGAGACACCCGTATGTCGAATATTGTTGCGCTACAGAAATCGCCTTAATGAAAACGTACCAGCAACGAGTTATTGGAACAAATTTCGACTGTGTTGAGTGTAAATATCGGGAACAAACTGTATCCTCCACTTGAGTGGTATTAGCACACAAGAAGCACACTTATTTGCTGACGCCCCACTTCCCACATTACGCAATGCGATGAAAATGGATTCGTATATTGCCCAGTGCAAAATATTTTTATTGCAAAAGCAAATGAGAGTATATTTTCTGACCGCAATCTTATACAGGGTGTTTCAGTTTATTCTTGCATAACTTTAAGATTCGATAGAACTTTTAAAAATAATGCATAAAGTCTATATAAACATGGGTCGAAAAACGCGTGGCTTCCGAAATACAGGGTGGTTAAATTTACTTTCTAAAATATTTTTTTTTAAATATTTCGAACAATATTTGATGTATAACTGTGAAAATTGGTATACAAGGGTTTTTTTGGTACGACAAAACGAAGCATGGGCATAGTTTTACTGTAGCCGCTAGAGGGCGCTCTCTACTGTACCTGTAGTGTATTAAAATGACAGAAAAATTTTTCTTAGTGCAATTTTTTGCATAAAAAAGTTCTCCTATGAGTTTTCCTTATACTTAGCCGTTTTTGAGATATTTCGATTTTTAAGGTTCGATGCATTTTTAATTATTTATGGGAAAATAATATTTTTTTTTACATTTTCGATTTGGGCATTACAAGTAATTAAGATGATCGTTTAGATTGTGTTTTTAAACACTTCAACAATTCCTAACTCCAAATAAACACAAAAAGACAGAATATTAATTTGTTTAATTTTCCAATATTATTTTTAACAAATTAAATGAATATTGGATGCTATTGGATAGTTAGGACAAACATACAAAATCTAAAGTAGTTGCTCGAAATGCAAACCCAATTCTTCAATACACAATTCACATCTACGAATGATCGAACGTGGTATAGCATTATTCAAATAAAGCCTTATTTCATCACATGCATTCCTGATTCTGCCTATTAGCATATCTCTTGTGGTTACGGGAGTCTGGTACACTTTTTCTTTTAGAAATCCCCACACAAAGAAATCTAACGGATTTAGGTCAGGGGATCGTGGAGGCCAGGCGACTGGTCCTCCACGGCCGATCCATCTTTCTGGATAATTTTCGTCCAGCCAGTTTCTAACTATTCTCGAATAATGAGCTGGACAACCATCAAGCTGGAACCAGGCCAATCTTCTTAAATCTAACATAGCATCATCCCACATATTTACATGTTCAGCCTTTAAAAATTCCAAGAAGGTTGCAGCACTTAACCTTGCAGGTAGGGTCCAAATAGTCGATTACGGTAGATACCAATCCACACGTTCACACTAAATTCATGCTGAACATTTCTTTCCCGAACTGCATGCGGATTTTCATGCGACCAAATATGTTCATTATGGAAATTTACCACTCCACGTCTAGTGAAGCATGACTCATCGGTCCATAAAACGTTACTTAAACTCCCTATTATTATCAGTTCTATCAAGAATCCACTGACAAAATGTGATTCTTCGTTCTCCGTCCCCTGGCTGTAGTCCTTGCACAGGTTGCAAATGGTAAGGACGTCTATGGTTATTTCTAAGAACACGGTGAACATGGCTTGCTGAAATTCCTAAGGCACCAGAAACTCTCCTAAAACTTGTGATCGGATCTCTATCAAACTCACGCAGAATCATACGGGTAAATCTGCGCTGACGAACATTTATGTTTTGATCCCTTTGGAGATTTCCAAAACCATTTTCAATTATTTGGCGATGCACTCGTACAAATACTGAGGGAGTTGGATGTCGTCTGTTTGGAAATCTTCGTGCGTATTCTCTGGCTGCTTCTGCTGCGTTTCCATTTACAAAGCCATACACAAAATGAATATCCGCTAACTCTTGATTGGAGAATAAAAATGGCATTTTTATAAAACTTACAAAAAAAAACAGGTAAAAGAAACTAAATTTCGTGCATTCACAATTGCAAAAAACGTTTCAGGTTTCAACAGACAACAAAACTAACTGTCAACTAATTGACGTTTAACCTTATTCTGCTTTCAATTTCAAAAATATTTGCAGTCACAGCCTACTTCTAAAAATTATCGAGATACTGACTTTTTAACGTTATTTTATCATAAATAATTAAAAATGCATCGAACCTTAAAAATCGAAATATCTCAAAAACGGCTAACTATAACGAAAATTCACAAGAGAGCTTTTTTATGTTGAAAAGTGCGAGGAATCAGTTTTTTTATTCAAAAAGCACAAAATTGCACAAAGAAAAAAATTTCGGTCATTTTAATACACTACAAGTACAGTAGAGAGCGCCCTCTAGCGGCTACAGTAAAACTATGCCCATGCTTCGTTTTGTCGAACCAAAAAAACCCTTGTATACCAATTTTCACTGTTATACATCAAATATTGCTCGAAATATTTAAAAAAAAAACTATTTTAGAAAGTAAATTTAAACAACCTGTATTTCGGAAGCCACGCATTTTTCGACCCATGTTTATATAGACTTTATGCATTAATTTTAAAAGTTCTATCGAAACTTAAAGTTATGCAACAATAAACTGAAACACCCTGTATATGTTGTACATTTTTTTATACGCCATACAACGTAATATTAAACCTTTCAAAGTGAACAACAATTTATTTTTAATGTATCTAGTATTGCGTTGTAACTCATACGAGAAACAAACAATACCTAACTTCTGGTAGGAATAGTATTTATAGCCTTTGCTGAGATTATTGGTCCCTAGTTCTTTGAAGAAAATGAAGAAGTCGCTGAGACGGTGAATTCGGAGCGGGATCTAAATGAGTTACAGGAATTTTTTTCCACGGCTAGACGAGTTTGATTAAGGGACAACTTGGTTCCAACACAACAGTGCCACGACACACACTTCAAAAGGATCGATGGTTGTTTTGAAGGAATACTTCCTCATCTCAAGTGGAGTGGCCGGCCCGACCTCCTGATTTGGCCCCTTGTGATTTTTTATAGGCTTTTCTGAAATCCCGCGTGTATGTGAACCATCCAAGCATCCTACAAGATTTGAAGGACCATCATCCAGAAAGAAATTGCCAACATAACGGCTGCTATGCTGGCGATAATCGTGACCAACGCCTGAAATCGGTTTGCTCAGTGTATGAAGAATTAGGTACGTCACCTATCACCTTGATGTTAGACCAAACTTTAGACATGACCCTAAATAACAAAAATGTTCTGTTTCAGGAATGGGTGCTAGTAAGTTTTGGTCCCCGACTGATCGAATGGATGAGATGAAGCATACAAAAAGCATAGAAACAACACAAGAACAGTACTCACTTGGTGAATGTAGCATACACGACATCGGCTGGCACGGTGTATGGCAGTGTTAGGACGGATAATAGCTTCATACCGCGGTGTTTGAACAGCCAATCTAATAAACCGTTATTGGCTTTATCTATCGCTTCCTGGAACTGGCTCAGCACGGAGTCTGGAACGTTCGACACTAGGGCCTCCTGGAAACCAAATATCACCTACTTTTTACAAAAGGTCTCCAAAATATATTTGCATCAATTTCAAAATGTGCCTGACAATTTTCAACTTCATGGCGATAACCCTTGTTATCAGGCGCTAAAGGGTTAAAGTTAAGAGTTCAGAATATTGATCAATGCACAAAAACAACCATTTTCATCTCGAGTTTGGCAGTTCGGATAACAAAGTTTGGAGACTTGACAAAATAACGAAAAGCATACACATCCAGTTTTTGAATTCTGATCACTAAAAAAATATAAGGGTGGAAAATTTGAATGGAGGCTGAATGCAAGCTCAATAGTCATATACAATATACATAAATATGCACTACTCAAAAAAATTAAGGAAGCAAGAAAAGAATCAAAATTTTTCAGTGGTTTTGACAGGTTTTATTTCGGTGAGAAATGGTCGTATCTAAACTTAAAAAAAGGCATTTTGTAGCTTTCAGATTCTAGTTTTGTTGAAAAATTACAAGAGCAGCTCCCATCCTCCAATTTTTTACCCCTAAAAACTTTTCAAAAATGACCAGGACCATCAAAATTACTTGTATACCAATAATCCTAGAAAGCGATATTACTGACCACTTCTCCACTATTTTACTGATATCTTCAAATGAAAAACATTCTAACATCCCTACCGTGAGTAACAACCAGGAAAATTACAAATTTTTTGTCGACAATTCAAAACTAATATCACATGTCAAACAAGAATCCTGGGAACAATTATACTCTATAAATAATATAGACAAGGCAACGGGACTGTTCATAGAGAAAATAAAAAAACTACTAGATATTAGTACCAATAAAGTAATAATTAGTCACAAAGAGAAAAGCAGAAATGCCTGGATTACCAAAGGATTAATAACATCGGCAATAGAAAAAGAAAGACTATATAATGTAATGAAACTAACCCCAACTACAGAGAATACCGACTGCTACAACCAATATAAAAATAAATTTATAGAGCTTGTAAGGCAAACCAAACGAAAACATTACCTAAATAAATTGAATAATAACTTAAATGATCCTAAGCGGCTTTGGACAACTATTGATGAGATTACTGGGAAAACAAAAGTTAAAGAGTGTGTCACTGAGTTAAATACAACATCGGGAACAGTATTAAAAAATACTCAACAGATATGCGATGAATTTGTACAATTCTTTACTGACATAGGCGAAAATTTAGCAAGTAATATACAAGCAAATGTACAAAATACTCAGCCTCCAAAAACAACTTTGAACTCATTTATTTTGGATAAAGTCGAGCAATGTGAAGTATACACCACTGTTTTGTCCTTAAAAAATCGGAAAAGTCCTGGGTTCGATGGTATTAAAAGCGAACATTTGAAAATTATAGCCGAGGACATAACAGAACCACTCACTTACCTAATCAACAAATGCTTTGAATCTGGCATATATCCCTCAATTTTAAAAAAAGGTAATATAATACCGATACATAAATCAGGAACAAAAACAGATGTTAACAACTATAGACCAATATCAATAATATCCAGTGTAGCAAAGCTTTTTGAAAAAGTTTTATCTACTAGAATGATTCGATACCTCACAAAATTCAAAATTTTAAGTGAAAATCAATATGGATTTACAGAAGGGAAGGCTACATCGGACGCAATAACTAAAATTGTAAATCAAATACATCAAAATATTGACAACAGAATCCCTTCAATCTGCATTTTTGTTGATTTAAAGAAAGCTTTCGATACAGTTAATCACAAATTATTATTAGAAGCATTGGAGAGAATTGGTTTCAGAGGAAACGCGTACTCACTGATCGAAAGTTATTTGTCAAATCGCCCACAATCTGTGCAGATATCAGGATCATTTAGTAAAGAAATGTATATTAAGTGTGGTGTCCCACAAGGAACTGTCTTAGGTCCGCTGTTATTCAATATATATTTAAATGATATTTTCCAAATTAATTGTGTTGGCAAAATAACTAGTTTTGCAGATGATACTGCAATATTATATGAAGGCACTGACTGGTCTGATCTGAAAAATGTAATTGAAAATGATTTTATTAAAATTATTCGGTGGTTTAACAGTAAAAAATTAAGCATTAACTACTCTAAAACACATTTTTTACCATTTGGATCTTATGCTAGACATCTGCCAAATTACACAAATTTCTCCTTCAATATTAATGATCAAAAAATGCAAATTAATAGAGTGCCCAACATAAAATACCTTGGAGTGGTCTTGGATCCTCACTTACGATGGGACATCCATGTCAATTATATTTTAAAGAAAGTTAGATTTGTATCCTACAAAATTAAATACCTTGGGAATATATTGACAGAAAAATATCTTCGAACATTATACCATGCACTGATTGAGCCTCATCTCACATATGGTATATTAGCATCGGGAGCTGCATGTTCCTCACATATCTATAATTTAGATGTTTTTCAAAAAAGTATTCTAAAAATGATATTTAAAAAACCGAAACTTTATCCCACTGAAAAATTATACGCAGATGTTCGAATGTATTGTAGTATATTAAGTACGCCCCTGGTTCCCCGAAAATTGCGCATGTACGATGAGTACTCTGACCGGGATACGTTAAACACACAGTATGTCGGGGTTCAGGATTTGTAACAGTTATCGGTGATATATAATAAACCATTAGTATACTTCCGGGTATTATTGATACCAACTAAGACATTACATGGCGACGAGGGTTATTAAAGAACTCGCCGGGTAAGGTTAAGTGTGTGTAAACTCCCCGTTTGTGTTGAAACCTCCAATTGTTGGTGAACCAATCTGTGCACAAGAAAGATGGCAGTTGCAGCAGCGGGTCCCGTGCTCACATTCAATCCCAAGGAGAACGAGTGGGAAGTTTTCTTCAAAAGGTTAGAGCAGTATTTTATAGTACACGGGGTCACTGAAGAAGCTGACAAGAGAGCTCATTTGCTGTATAGTTTGTCTGAGGAGGCGTATATTTTATTAGAAAATTTATGTATGCCGCAAAAGCCGGAAGAAACCCCATACCAAGACATAGTTCAGTTATTGTCTAACTACTATGGTAAAACTGCTGTTGTATGGGTCGAAAGGCAGAAGTTTTATAGTGCATCCAAATCAGGAAATGAGACGGCACTAGAATGGAGTGTACGACTTAAAGGTTTAGCTCGCTATTGCAATTTTGGTCAGCAGCTTGAGTCCAAGCTAACGGACATTTTTGTTACGCAGTTCAATCCTGGGAAGGTGAGAACTGAATTATTCAGCCTAAACGAGAACACCACCTTAAATAACGCTGTTGAAAAGGCCAAAATTATCGAAGCAACGCTAGTAATAAGAGACCCAGTTGGTGAAGTTAAAAGCGAGGTCTTAGAATCCGATGTTTTTCGAATTACACAAAATAATTCAAATGTTGAATCAAATTCAAGCGGATAACCAAATGGAAATGGTATTTACCATTTTGGATTGGTATTTACCGATCCGTTCAAGCGAGTGTGGTTATCACTTTGGTTATCAGATCCATGACGTCATGAATCAGCTGTTATATGTCATAGTTATCACCGCAAAATTGTGGTATTCACCTAACTCGGGAGTAGTTATATTTCTGGTTATTATTTGACATGTGACAAGTTAGAATTTTGCCGGGTATTGAATATTTTTATTGTACTTCAGCTTCATTTTTGGGAAACTTGATACAGGCTGATTTCAGTTTTAGCATAAGAGATCATCTTATTATTTATAATCATTACTGTTGTTGTGGATACTTTAAATCTAGTTCCTACGCTTAACAAAGTATCCTGTATAGCCATATACCACAAGAATATTAAAATATGGCCGTATAAACTCACTGGATGATGTCCACCTGTATACGGTTTTGTTAATATCTTTTTTTCATCATTTCTGCTAAATCAATAAATATTTTCTTTGACATGCGGAGAAGTTTAGAGAATTGAAAGTTATCATAGCTACAAAGCCATGGTTCCAACAATAAAAAAAAATTTCTGAAAAAAAAACAATTCCTCCCATTAATATTATGAAAGTTTTCTTTTTTTCAACTTTCCATACCCCGTTGTAGACGAAAAAGCACCGATTATTAAGTGATAATAAAAATAATCAGAAATTATATACGCGCTTTTCTAAAACAAACAACTTGCAACAAACCGCGGTTAAAACCAACGCGTTCAAGCGATTCCAGTAATTGACGTCATCATCCCATGTGTCATCTTGAACCATATTATAACCGCGGTACATAATACGGAAATTTTGGTTATCCGCTTGGATTTGATTTTGGTGCCACTGGCGATCAACATCAAGATCCTCAACGGTATCATAGAGGGACAGCAGTACCTGCAGCGCAGCGGAGCCAAGGAGGCACGCGCAGGAGTGGGGGCAACAGCTCAAACATGGCGCTGCCACAGCTACAGCCGTTCACATCGTCTGGTCGCTCTCCGGGCTGTTTCCGCTGCGGGAGGAACCACAACAGTAATGTATGCCCCTATAAGGAATATATTTGTAACTCTTGTCACGGTAGGGGTCATCTCAGTGTGGTGTGTAAAAAGAAAAAACAATCCTCACCTAAGCACGTTAATTATGTTTTTCCTAATAATGATATTGCTGAGGATTATACAGACGTTTTTTCATCCCCAGTTCTAAGTATTTCTAGCTTAGGAAGCAACAATGATGTGCCACTATATATCGATATTTTAGTTGAGAATGTCATGTTGAAATTTGAACTTGACAGTGGATCAGCTGTTAGTGTTTTGCCACTTCATGTTTACAAAACATATTTTGGTGCTCACGTCATGAAAAAAACAAATGTTTCCTTGATTAATTTTTCTGGCAATAAGATCATCCCACATGGCACAATCAACTTAAATGTTAAATTTAATTTCAAAGATAGCATCCTATGCTTTTTTGTTGTTGATGGTAACAATCCATTGCTCCTAGGTCGAGATTTTATTAGGAATTATAATATGGGATTTAGAGAAATTCATTATTTGAACAACGAT